CTTTCTTGTAATACCTCTTATAAAACTGTCTGCAAATACAGCTACATGTTCAGGTTCTGTAGTTAACACTACAGATAGGAATCTTGTAGGTATGCCATTCAGTCCAACAGAGAAAGTGATCACATTACTGTCTAAACCACAACACACTGAATTATTTTTAAAAGAGCTCACATTAATATTGGTGGGACAAAATGATGACTAATTATCTGTAGATTTGTAGTACCTCTGTTTATGGGGTTACTCTGAAAATTAAAAAAAAAAAATGTTGGGCTGTAGAGTTGTAGCTCAGTGGTAGAGCATTGGTATAGCACTTCTGAAGTCTCAGGTTCCATTCCCCAATTGAAGAAAGCAAAGAAAGTCATCTTGACTGTACCACATCCAGCCCAGGACCTGACCAGTGGGTGCAGTTAAGGTTAACTGGAGGTGGAGATGGGGGGTCAGAAGTTCAGGACCATGTTTGGTTATGGAGTAAGTTCAACCCTGTCTCACACTGTCCTCACCCCCCCCCAAAAAAAAAAAAAAAAAAAAAACAACCACCACCCCAGTTTTCTACTGTTATTTGTCTTTGTGGGTTCGCCTTTATCTTGCCCTTTTCTCCCCCGCCCCCAGTTTCACCCCCTGTCACTAGATAGGATAGAGAAGAGAGAGACAGAGATCCCTGAATCTGATTTCTTTCTTCTTGTTTCCTCTTTGAGCACAACTACTAACAAACTGCAGCCAACCCCCCCTGAATAACCAAGAACCACCCACCCTGCTTCTCAGGGCTGTATCATTTATATATCTCTGAAAAGTTCCCAGAATTCCAAATGTCACACAGTTGCAGAAATGATCTGCAGCTGGCAAAACCACTGTCTCTGCTAAAGCATGAGGCAAATCATAGTCCCCTGCTACAAAGCAGCCCTATATCCCATACCTGGGATTAAAAATGAAAACATATTCTACTAATATTTCTATATATTTTTAAAGAAACAAAAATTCCAGAATTCTCACTACAGTCACTATTTGGGCTCTCAATATTTCCAACAATTAATCAGAAGACCATCCTCTTTTCTTACATGCATCCATGGTGGGTCACTTGGTCAAGGACAGGATTTCTTCACTGTGTTGCCCAGGCTGTCCCCAAACTTGCCATTCTCCTGTGTCTTTCTCTTGAATGCTGCCTGTGTGCATCAGTAATTAGATCTAATTACTTGACCTACTGCTATTTCTATTCAGTTATAGTTGATACAGAGTAGAAATGAAAACATTGGGGGTTTTTTGTGGTGGTGGTGGTGTTTTGTTGTTTGTTTGTTTTTTTAAGACAAGATCTCACCCTATAACCTGGGCTGGTTCAAACTTTTGATCAAAACTTCCAGTTCTCTTGCCTCAGCTTCCCAGCTGCTGGGATTTTGGGCTAGTGTCACCAAGTCTAATTTCTTCTGTTGGTCAGTTTTTATTTTCTTAATGTTTATATATTTGTGTGTGAGTGTTTATATATTTGTTTGTGGCAGTGTGCCCCAGGAGGCATGTGGAGGACAGCTTTGTGGAGTTGTATATCCCTCCATATTTGTGTGGACCAAACTCAGATAATTAGGCTTGCACAGCAAGCTCTTGACCTGCTAAGCTGTCTTAGGGCCCACCTTGCTCTTCTAAACATTGATTTCAGTAACCTGAATGTGCTCTTTGTTAAGCAGATAGCCAGGGTACAGTTTGAATGGAGTGTACAGTAGTATCATTCGGTGTACTCCCATCATAGGTTGTCATAGAGCAGTAATAAGATTGTGGTGGAAGGACAGGGCTGGGGTGATAAAGACAGAACAGACTATTCAAGGGCCAGCTAAGCACAGGGCTGTCTGTAGAATTAGTGAGTTACCAAGTGAGTCCATAATTGAGCGTTCCTTGTGCTCCAAGACAGAAGTCTTCTGCAAAGGCAGTATTTAAACAGCTCAAGTGTGGTGTCAGCTTAGTGGAGTACACTAAGCTGTTAGAGTAGAGCTGGAAGATGTAACACTTCCCAGCTTGAACAAGTGTATACAGCTCTCTACTTTGCTTATGTGGATTTCTTGAGTTGCGTAGTGGTAATCTCTAATGATCAGACAAGGCTTGGTTGTTTTGTTGTTGTTGTTTTCTTTTTAAAACAAGATTGAGGCACATATTGCCTCAGACGCTCAGAGTAGTTACATTGGACTGTCCAGCATCAGGAGGCAGAGGCAGATGGATCTCTGTGTATATTCAAGGCCATGATCTATACAGAGAAACCCGGGGGGAGCGGGGATGATCCATCTTCATAGCACCTCAGGTGCTGCCTTTGGCACCATCTCTACAGCAGTGCTGTCAGCAAGATGAAGTGTGCTTGCTTTGCTTGGTCGGTTTATTTAAAGGTATTCTTAAAAGGTGTGTGTGTGTGTGTGTGTGTGTGTGTCCAGTGGCATCCAGAAAAAAGCATCCGATCCCTTGGAGTTATAGTTACCTGGTGGTTCCCAGCTACTGTAACACACACTAGAAACCAAACTCAGGTACTCTGCATAAGCTTTTACTGCTGAGTCAGCTTTCTGCGCCCACCCTTACCCACCTCCCTTTTTTTTTTTTTCTTGTTCTTCCAGTCAGGATTTCTCTGTGTGCTCCTAGCTGTCCAAGAACCTGCTCTGTAGACCAGGTTGGCCTCGAACTCAGAGATCTGCATGCCTCTGCCTCCTGAGTGCTGGGATTACAGGAGTGCACTGCTACACCTGGCTAAAGGTAGAGTTTTTAATACCCCTCAGCTAATAATAAATTGGCTGGCCAGCACTGACCTCTGCGCCCAGGCTTATTTTTTCCATGTTCTGGGAAAGGCTGTCCATGCTTTGGGTAAGACCAAAAATACAGCTGGCAGCTTTCCAGCCCATAGTGTCAGATGTGCCAGCAGGAGGAGTAGAAGCTGGCCCCAGGCAGAGATGTGAATAAAGATTCTTGTAAAGTCACCCAGCTGTCGTCACCAGGGCCAGAGAGGCAGTGTGGACTTAACAAATGCACTTACTGTTTTTATGTTCGTAAGTGGAGCTGAAAACTCAGATTAATGCATGCCTTCCCAGAGCACACCCACGGGGAAGGGGAGGTCTTTGTTTTCCTTTGGCTGCAGACATGTCCTCATGCACTGCATGTCCAATTTAGACCTCCTGTGCCCTCATGATCAACTCTGTCATGAGCCCTATGGAACGCTGAAAATACAGAGGACTGAAAATTACCACGTGTCATGGCAGAAGAAATTAGTTTTAAAATTTGTGTGCAGGGTTTTTTTTAATGTTTTGTTGTTTTATAGATCTAGTCAGAATCTAGAAGTAGCAATTTGTCTGGCAACCAGTCACTGTAACAGTTCCTCTAGGACCAGCTGACATGGGGCAGTTAAGTTAGTCTTTTATTTCCTGCTGAGCATCTTCTGGTAGGTCTAAAAGTAAATAGAAGACCCTGGATGTATACAAGCAGGTGACTGTTAGTTAGAATTAGAAAGCTGAATAGTCTAGACTATTATTATTATTATTATTATTATTATTATTATTATTATTATTATTACTACTACTACTACTACTACTACTACTACTATTACTATTCTCCTGGCTCATGTGTATGTGTATACACAACTTGCACGAACCAGTTCCTTCATTCCACCACATGGTTTCCAGGAATTAAATTAAGGCAAACTCACCTGCTAAGTCATCTCACTGGGGCTCCTAAATGCTTATTCATATAATAAAAGATTTCCAAATTTCGTGAAACGAAAACTGGTAGACAGAAAGGAAAACAAAACCTACAAATACAGCTGAATATAACAGTGTCCCTCATTCAATAATGCAACAATACAGGCAGGAAGAAAATGAGCAGCAACATAGTGGCTTTGACTAATGTTCTTGTGTGTTTGTGTTGATTGTGCACATGCATGTATAGTCTAGAGGACTGATGTCTCCTCAGTCTGCCCTCCACTGAACCTTGAGATCATCAATTGGACCTGATTGGCTGACCAATAAGCTTCCGGATTGCCCAGTTCCATGACACACATTGCCTTTCCCCCAGCACTGGATTACAGATGTGTGCCACCATACCCAGCTTTTGACATGGGCTCTAGGGATCCAAACTCATGATTGCACAGCCATCTTGACTGAGTAATTCCAACGAGCCCCATTGAAGTAGTGCTCTTCATCAGTGTAATCTAGCTGTCATTTGTGAAACGCCTCAACAGCAAAACGTCGTTATTTAACATACATTAAAATATTTGCCAATGATGGACATATCAGAAGACATGAGACAAGCTGGAATATATGGAACACATGATCTGTACTCTGTATTAGCTCAGGCTAACATAGCAAAGTACATTGTAGCTTAGATGGCTTAGACAACAGAAATCTATTTTCTCAGAGTTGTGGAGGCTGGAACTCCAAAATCAGATGCCTGGTTGGGTTGTTTGCTGGACTGACTGACTCAACTCAGGTCAGCACATGAGTGTATGCAGCTCCCAGTCTCCCAACACTGGACTCCTACCTGACTTGATTCTTAACCGTTCTCTGCAAGTTCTTACCAGTTACATGGTTTGCAAGTATTTTCTTTTCTCATGTAAGTGGCTAGCCTCCCTCCCTCCCTCGCTCCCTCCAGGGAGGTCACCTCTCCCTGCTATTTATTTATTTTTAATAGTGTTGTTTGAAGCACAGATGTTTTCACCTGCTTTGGGCTGTTGTTTTTAGAGGGTCCTCAGTGTACATTCTCTAAAAGCTGCTGTGTGGGTATAAAAGTCCCAAAATGTGCTTGCTATTTATCCAGCATTTTTCTTTCCAGATTTTTAACCATAAGAAAGTAATTAAGAGATTGTGGAAGGTTGAACTACACTGGAGTCAGGGAAGCTCTTGCACTAACACTAGAGGGTCAAGGGCTGTTTTCAGTCTAACAGTTCATTCTTTCCCTCCTAGTAACAGCATTTAGAATACTGTCATGACTGGCCTTGCTGTGTTCTCTCTTAAGCAAAACTGAAACTGACTGTTAATTCTTTCCCATAGGTCTCTTAATATGGACTTTGAAAACCAAGATAAGGAGAAAGACAGCAGCAGCTCTTCTGGCTCTTTCAATGGCAACAGCACCAATAACAGTAAGGCGTGTTAATTAGTCATTTCCTCATGTGTGCTCCCAACCCCTATGTTCTCACCTCAGCTGACCTCTCTGTGCCTCCAGTTCCTCGTGTAATGGCTTTATGTTTGATATAACAGTAAGATCTAATCCGTATGCTGCCATCTGTTGAGTTTTTATGTTCTAAATCTGAACTTACTGACTGCATACAAGAGGCTTGAGCCTGATGCTGACTGCTGAGGTAGCTCCCTAAAGAAGGGGGGGGGGGTCCACCCCTGTGACTTCATTTGCTGTTCTGTGAGGTTAGTGGTCCTGTACTCGGGACAGTTTGATTCAGTAGCTGTAAAAGAGAGCACATTCAAATGCTTGGAGGACTCAGCTTTTGGAGTGTCTCTTGATTTGAAGCTCTTAAAATAGAGGTGAATTTATAAACAAGTTTGCATTTATCCATACAGTGGAATATTATTTTATATTTCATAATGAAGTGCTGGGGGCCAGGGAGATGGCCTAGTCAGCAAAGTGCTTGCACTGCAAGCATGAGGTCAGAGCTCAGATCCCCAGCACCCATGTAATAACCTAGGCATAGTGGTTTGTGCCTGCCATGCCAGTGCTGGGGGTCAGGGATGAAAGCCCCTCTCTTGGGTTTGCTAGCCAGGAGTCTGGTCTACTCTGTTACCTCCAACTTGAGTGGGAGACCCTGCCTCAAAAATAAGTTGGAAAACAACAGAGAAGACACCCATAATAAACTTGTGATATGCACATACATGTACTTCACATGCAAACATGTATACTGTATACACACCGTGTTCATAAAATTAAGTGCTGTTCTGTGCTGTGATGCAAATGAAGCTTGCAGTGTGCCAGAGAAAGGAGCCAAGCACAGTTACTTCTTGTGTGAGTCCTTTAGATGAAATCCCCCAAACAGCAAATGTGTCTGGACAAAAAGTGGATCATTGGTTGCCTGGGGCTAGAGAGAAGTAGAAAGATTAACTGCAAATGGAGTGGTCTTACTGGGGTGGTTTTTAAAAAACAAAACAAAAAACCCAATATCAAGAAAACTTGATTGTGGTTATTTCAGAGATTGTTAAGCCTACCAAAAAAAAAAAAAAAAAAAAAGATTGAATTTTGTATCTAAAATGGGTGAATTTTTATGATGTGTGAATTGTACGTTAGTAGAGTTACAGAAAATAGAGTGCTTGTTATGGAAAGAAGGAAAGTAAGAAGAGTCTGGGGTAGATCTGAGCAGTAGGTTCATTCACTGCATGTGTGAAATACTGGATGTGATTTGAGGCACCACCAGAAACAGAGAAGGCTTGAGGATAGTACCTTCCGTTTCCTCAACGTTTTACTACATATTTTAAAAAACAAAATGAACCAAAACTGTTTCCTCCCAGTTGTTTAGGTGCTAAGGGTTTGAACCCCACCCAGCACCTCAGAAAGAGACAAAAATAAGCTCTGGAGACCAAGTCATTTCACTACCCAGGGAAGAGAGAACAAAGAAAGTCAACTACAGTGGTAGAGACCTCAGCCTGCTAGGAGAGGGGAGTGTATGATTCAGATAAGAGAGTGAGCATGACACATAGGCCAGGTTCACCAGCTATTAAATGAGGTCTGTGTCTGAGAAACAGCTATGATGGAGGACCATGGCCATTCAGTTGGAAAGAGATCATTAATGCCATTTCCTTTTATTAGTTCCTATAATACTTCATAACCAAATTGCACTTGCCTAGTTCTTTACTTCAAAGTGGGAAACAAGCATGACAAAGACAGTAAAATAGAATGATTTAAATAGAATGAATCTTGAGCAGCCTGAGATGGCCTTTAATCCCAGCATTGAGAAGCAGGGGCAGGCAGATCTCTGAGTTTGAGGCTAGCCTGGTCTACAGAGTGAGTTGGCACTGCATAGACTCTGCCTTTAAAAACTCTTTATCATAAGTGATAAAATCTTTTGAGTGAAATGAAGTGTGTGCCAGTAACTAACTAGGAATCAAATTAAACCCAGTATAAAATTTGACTTTCAGATTGATGCATTACATAGCAGTTATCACCTGTTACTAATTCAAGCCAGATCACTCACACCCTTGTAACTTTATTTCTAAAGTCCTGTATTGTGCAGCGTATTTATTTGCAAATGGTGCAACTAAAACAGGTTATGATCTCTGGCACACTGTGTTACAAAATAGAAGAGAAGTATGCAGTGTGTCTAAGTAAAATACACTTGAACATACAGTGGAAGGAAGTGCATGCTAATTCAGTTTTATTTCCTGTCATGTGTCAGAGTCAGAGGAGAATCACACATTGTGTCATTTGTGTTGTTTCTTAAGTCTGCCTCCTTGTCAAACTCTGCACCCTTCCCAGCATGCCAAGCAGGATTGACAGGTTACAATAAAGTGCATCTCTCTTGGATGTAGTCTAGAAAAATGCTGAGAAAGAAAATGAACATTCACTTAAAGAGCATCTCATATTTCCAGCTTGAAAGGACAGTGTGGGAGGGAGGTGACATGTTCTCTCTCTCTCTCTGTCTCTCTTTTTCTTTTTTTTTTTTGTTTGTTTGTTTGTTTGTTGTTTTGAGATAGGGTTTCTCTGTGTATCTCTAGCTGTCCTGGAACTCCCAGGCTGGCCTTGAACTCAGACATCCCCCCGCTTCTGCCTCCCGGAGTGCTGGGATTAAAGGTGTACACCACCGCCCCTGGTCAGGTCACATTTTCAAAAATTGTAGAGTTAATGTGCAGAAAGCTCAATTGGGAGCACAAGGTGACTGTGTGGGTACTAAAGAGACTGGGGTCCTCAGTGACCCACAGGGCACAGGAGCTGAAGGAAGGCTCTCAAAAAAGGAAGGTGTGTTAAGTTAGTGCCAAGATGTTGGCAAGAGGATTTTGGACCAATAAAAGGAGAAAGTGACCAGGTGGAGATTTGTAAAAGATCATAGTTGCCTACTTCAAAAATACTCACGTCAAGGAATTTGTGGGAAACAAACATGATAGTAGGAAAAGTGGAGGTGTGGGCCATTGTCCTAAGTGGAAGCCAGAGCAAGGGGTTCTAGGTTGGCAGCCTTTGCTGTCAGGAACTGCTGAGTTGTCCCTGACTATAAAAGGAGCTGGATGTGTTAGATGGTGACACAGGCTTATTAGATAGGCCATGTGACCCACACCAAAACATCACAATGGTAACAGTAATTCAGCTCTTCCTGTGAGGATCCTTGGGTACCTGGCCAAAGACTCAGGAGTTATCACCTCAGATGATGGAAATGTTCTACTTGTTAGCTAAAGGGTAGAACAGCCTCCTTGAAAGTGTAGCACTCCGTTCATTACAAATCAGGAAAGCAAATTGAACTGCATGGAATAGCACTACACAGCTACCAGGATAGCTCAAGATGAAGATGAAACCCTAGCCACACCTAGTGTTCACATAGACAAATCCTCTTGTACATTTTGGAAGAGTGTGCATCGATAGCCACTGTGGACAGGCTTTGGCATTATCTACTGAGGTCTACCACCTCAGACCCAGCAGTGTAGCTCTAGGATGCTTGCTGTTGGGCACATACAGGTGAACGCATGTATATGAGAACATGACAATATTAAAGTTAAAAGGGTAAGGCAGGAACCCTGAGGAAGATAATAAATGGACTTGCACCTGTGTCTGAGTCAGCCAGATTAACCAGATAAAAGCAGTGAAATGGTTCTGGGAGAAACAACCAAGCAGATCTGCCCGTGACTAAGGATCATGGCGCCTGCCGCCCTTTCCCCTAGTACTGCCTAGGAGCTCTGGGCAGTTAGGCCTTTCCCCATATTCCCTGCCTGCTGCATCTGCTTATGGTGGACTATGGTGTAGGAAGGGCAGCTGTTCAGAAATCTGTTGTCTCTTGGAGGACAGGGAGCATAGCTGTGGTGACCACCCCAGGAGCACAAAAGCTGCCATGGTTGGGATTGGAGGGAACATCATCCCATAACACAGAGATAGCTATAACCTCATACTTGGAACACTAAGAAAGGAAAATGGCAGTTTTGGGGCCAGCCCGGGCTATAGAGCAGCTTCCAGGCCAGCCTCTACTACAAAGTGATATTCTGTCTCAAATAGTACTAATGATATTAATGGGCTGGAGAGATGACTTAAGAGCACTGGATACTCCACCAGAGGGCCCAGGTTTGGTTCTGGGCATCCACATGGTGGGTCACCACCATCTGCCATAGATCCTCTAACTGTAGAGGATCTGATGCCTCCTTCTGGCCTTCAAGAGCACTGCATGCATGTGTTAGAGAGACATAAATGCAGGCAAAACACACACACACAATAAAATATCAAAGAAATACAAAGTAGAATTATTTGTAATAGCCAAAAATTTAGAAAAAACCTAAATGTCAGCCATAGAGTGGAAAAAATTTTAACATGTTATTACAGTGAACTCATAGAATAGAGTAGAATGAAATATTCTTATAGTGTTGAGCAAAAGAAGCCAGACACTATAAGAATATTTTATTCTACTCTACATTCTCTAATGTATGTAAAGTTCTAAAACCAGGCACAGTAAGCAGTGTCTTAGGATACCTGTGTAAGTGAGAAACATCCAGATTAAAGTTTGGAGGCTTGTGCCTTTAAACCCAGCACTTGGATAGCTGAGGAAAGAGGATCTCCAGCTGGAAGCCAGCCTGGGCTTACATAGTAAGACCCTGTCTTTAAAAAAAAAAAAAAAAAAAAAGTCAAAATTCATATCTGATCATCCAAGTGTAGTCTTTTTGTTTTGTTTGTTTTTTAAGACAGGGTTTCTCTGTTTAGCTTTGGCTGTCCTACACTGTCTTGTAGAGCAGGCAGGTCTCACAGAGATCCACCTGCCTTTGCCTCCCAAGCACTGTGATTAAAGGTGTGTGCCACCACACCAAGCCTCCAAGAGTAGTTCTGATTCTTATGTCAGCCCCAAGAGGCATGTAGAGATTCATCACACACAAACACACACACACACACACTTTCTTTCTTCCTTCCTTCCTTCCTTCCTTCCTTCCTTCCTTCCTTCCTTCCTTCCTTCCT